CGTTATAATGTGACGGTCAATCCCACTATTCGTTGGTAAAAGAGTAGCCTAAGAGTTGTCGGTGGGTGGTGATGACTAGCTGCCTTCCCTCTAGTCTTACACTGCTAAATTAGGGACGGCTAGCGCAGATAGCCCTCGTGTAGCTTTGCGCGAAATTTAAACAAACAAACAATATATATATTACAGAGAAATGGGTTTACTTGCAATCGTAAAATATCAAATAAAATGGCTAAACGGAGAGCCACATAAATACTGGTTTAGTATTTCCTCTTTACTATTTAACTTTAAAACCGTATAAATGTTTAAGACTGAATTACCTAACAAACACAGAACACTACTTGTTGGTTGAAAATTCCCGTTACGCTTTTTTTTTTTTGCAATTTGAAACAATAAAGCGCAATATATATGATAGATTTTGTAATATGTAAATATATTTTCGGTCTTCAGATTACAGGGGAAAAATATTTTACAAAAACAAAAAAAGTTGAGCTTGTTTGAAATATAAAAATGCGTTGAATATTTTTGTTCACGCGAAGTCACATCAGAGCAATCTCGCAGACTAAATGAAAGGGAGATACTCAAAGGTACCCACCGCCAACTATTGAGTTACTCTTCTTTTGACCGAATAGTGAGATTTGATCGTGATGCAAGTTTTACTCAACAGCACTCACCACCAACTCTTGGATTACTCTTTTTTGCTCGAATACTGAGATTTGAAGCGGTGGGTCACGAACCATGAATCTTCGTATTCACAGTCTGATCACACTAACTGATAGAGAAGTTACTCGAGCATTCAGACTGAATAAAACTTCCAATTGTCGTCCCATACGAAATATTGACAAAATTCTTTGAACTAAATTTGTTTTTCCATAATATTTTGAACATGACCGTTCAGTCAAAGGTGAGAAAAATGTGACTAATTTGGATTACCATCACCAAAGATGGACTGCTTAAACAAAATATCGTGTTGTTATTATATCTCATATTTGATATATGTATACTTATGGTTTCCATACGATTTACACCAGAGAACTTATTTAGTTCACATATATTAATTATTATTAATACATCAAGTCAACTCTTTGATTTGATTTTGTCCACTACAGACAAGAGAGTGACGCCATTATGTCCAATGTAAGTAAGACATCGCTAGTATATAGCTGAGAACAAATAATAACTACTACAAATTAGTTGATAACACTGGGTGGGGTTTTATACGGTAAGACATTCCTGAAATGCATTACTTGATAACACTGGTTGAGGTTTCACACAATAAGGTCTTAACACCAAAGCTTATAATAAATAACAACTACATTAGTGTTCTTTACCATTAGATAAGAATGATAAACCTTATTAAAGTGAAAACTACTCCTTTGTTTTAGGGCAATGTAGATTTATTGAAATAGTAAATGTTTTTTTTAGAAGTATTTAACTCACCAGATGTCACTCTTCTAGCTGAGCTAACCCTACATATCCAGTTCTCCTGGAAAATATTTATTTTTTAATAGCGGACTTTTTATTAAAAACTTTGAATTTTTTACTCGATTCAGTTAAAAAAATAAATATATATACATTTTTGAAACAAAACAAATCATTCTACTTTTGAAGAAAACAAATAATAACGAAGTAAAAATCGAATTGTGAGCCGATCACACACATCAATCCCAAAGCGAGATTACAGCTACAATAAAAATTCAGACGTGCAAGGTTTGCCAAATGCTTAGAAGCAAAAGTGACAAGAATTTCGTAGAGAAAATAACATATACCCCATTCTGGTAGAAACCTGACAATGTATTTTGTGACAAATACGGAGACATCCAGGCCTTACCGTTTATACGATGGCTCTCTTCCCACGACCCCGGCAGACAGCGATGGCTCAACCCACTTCACGTGCCTTTCACATGCACATACGGCGTGTTTGGGCTCAAAGGGTTGAAGCGATTTTTAAGCTGGTGATACGCTTGTGACGCCTTAGATCTGTGTACGCATACATGTGTGTATGTGTGTCTTTTGGTTTACATCAGACGTATGTAACATAAAAGCAAAAAGTGTGTTTGTGTACTGATATGTCGTAGTTTTTGTAAACAAACAAACAAATAAAACATGTTCTACAGACGGGTCAAGTTGCTTAAACAAAGCATAGGCTTTAAATAGTTAAAATCTTATAGAATGCAAACCTTAAATAGTTTTTGGTTTTTAAAAATAAACTTTATCATCTCTCTTTATCGGTAAAAGTGGTGCATAGTCTTCAGACGAGGGAATTGTTCGACAAAGCTGGTCAGCTTTATACCCAGCTCAAAATTAGAACAGACCTTGCAATGAAAGGGTGTTGGTTGCATGTCTGCTTTAAGTTTGTGATGCCTCAGAAAAACTAGTCTGGACAACTGTGTTCGTCGGTTGGTCGAAGCCTGATTCCTCTCGGTGTACTTTTGATATATTGTCTCCACACGGAGCAAGAGCTCTACAAAATAAAAGCATACGCTGATTGGTTGGCCTGCAGGAGTAGTCAGACGAGAAGGCGGAAAATTTAAAGACTTTGAGATTGTTGTCTTGTAAGAATTTTAAGAATCCTCATCTGAAGAGGAAGTTGAAAGGATACGAGACGACTGGTTTTCACCAGAAGTAATCACAACCCCAGAACGGAAGCAGGACTTTAAAATCGATATATTCGGTCTTTGCACCGCCATCTTGCCTGAAAATGACGTCACGGAAAGGAAGCTATCGATTAGTTGTGTAGGTAGGTGAGGACAACATTATGAATTACTAAAATAGAAGACCCAGCAAATTATCCATAAAATAATTAATTACATATTTCATAGTCTGAAGTGACATTTCTATGTCACAAACTGTTTACAATTTTAGTGAGATATGAAGTTCGTTAATTGTCTATTAGTTTAAAAGTATTAATGGAACCTGAAGATCACAAGCTTTTAAAGTCATAGTGAGATATGAAGAGCTAACTGTTCAATAGTTCAACAATCTTAGTGAGACCAGATGATCAGTAACTTTTCAATGATTTAACAGTTGTTCTGAGATTTGAGGATCACTAACTGTTCAATCCTTTAACAGTCGTTCTGAGACCTGAGGATCACTAACTGTCCAATCCTTTATCAGTCGTTCTGAGACCTGAGGATCACTAACTGTTCAATCCTTTAACAGTTGTTCTGAGACCTGAGGATCACTAACTGTTCAATCCTTTAACAGTCGTTTTGAGACCTGAGGATCACTATCTGTTCAATTCTTTAACAGTTTTGCTGAGACCTGGGGATCACTAACTGTCCAATCCTTTAACAGTCCTGCTGAGACCTGAGGATCACTAACTGTCCAATCCTTTAACAGTCCTGCTGAGACCTGAGAATCACTAATTGTCCAATCCTTTAACAGTCCTGCTGAGACCTGAAGATCACTAATTGTTAGTTTAACAGTGTTTGCAGCAATCAAAATGTAGAGTAATTGGTGAAGTATAAACTTTTCACTTTATGTACTTTATATTTACTAATGAAAAGGATATATTTGTACATTTTCTAGAATGTACGAGAAAATATTCTAGCATTCAAATTTAGCTATGATATTGCTAGAATGTCTACATGAAAGACGTGATATGAAACTTATGAGAAAAGAGCGAACAGAATATGCACTGTTTGTTACGAAGAAATATTACATACATTCACGAGGTAATAATGTTGATGTTCATTGCCATTGTGATTTCACAGATTTGAAATTCCTGAACATTCGAGACAAACTGTCTTAAAAGCCTTCATTGATTCGGACTAGTTAAGATCGCCTACTGCGTGTATTTCTTCTTATAGTTTCTAAATTATTTTTCGTCTTGTACTCGTCGTAAATATAGAAGTTAACTCTTATACAATACATCATTAGGCCTAGCAGAAGATTCTCTTACGTGTTTGGTATATGGTCATCTCATGTACTGAATTTTTAATAAGAACTGAAGTTCTTTATGTTGAAAACTTTCAAAATCTGTACACAACCAACTACTTGATATATAAAACGCAGAAATATCTGAAAATAACCACAACGCGTGCTAAGCCTGTTACATTTTTAACATTTCCTTCATTTTTTTATACTGTTAAATACATTGTGAAAGAAAATATTAGCAGGCCTAATAATATTAGTGACAAAAATCATATATCAGAACTGAGGGAAAATATTTTAAGTTTATTCAATGACATTCTATTAAAAGTAAATACAGAATGTAAACATACGAAATTTGATACATACTTTGCTGCATTTCCTGTGAATGTTTATAAGTCATGGATACACACATGTAGACATTTTAAATTAAAATCCTAGAAGGCTGAATATATATTTTCCCGTATAGCTTTCCCATTTTGAACTTTCACTGTATACAGTTCGCTCTTAGAGTGCCTGAACGTGGATCCGGGGGTTTACGGTTCGAGTATCATTGCCGCAGAAAAAAACAAAACCGCACTCCGCACTTTGGGATCGTGGATGCGTTATACGAATGACGAAAAAGATCCCACTTTTCGATTAGAATAACCAAAGAATTAGCTGTGGGTGCTGTTGATTGGTTAAGAATTAGCTGTGGGTGCTGTTGATTGGTTAAGAATTAGCTGTGGGCGCTGTTGATTGGTTAAGAATCAGCTGTGGGTACCGTTGATTCGCTGCCTTCAGTCTTGTTTATCCATTCAAAATTAGGGACGGTTAGAGAACCTTTATTGACATGCGGTAAACCTTTCTACAATGTTGGTAAATAAAGCTTCGAAAGGATAACCCTCATATCAAAACGTTTTTTGTCAAACTGCATTCTTAAAAAGCAAATGAAAGTTCCATATTTTTCATGCACACACTTTAGAATATTTCACACTTCTGATATACTACATACATACTTCGGATAAAGTCCACACTTTAGAATATTCCACACCTCTGATTTACTACACATTTCTGATATAGTCCACACTTTAGAATATTCCACACCTCTGATTTACTACACATTTCTGATATAGTCCACACTTTAGAATATTCCACATTTCTGATATAGTCCACACTTTAGAATATTCCACATTTCTGATATAGTCCACACTTTAGAATGTTCCACACCTCTGATATAGTCCACACTTTAGAATATTCCACATTTCTGATATAGTTCACACTTTAGAACATTCCACACCTCTGATTTACTATACACTTCTGATATAGTACACACTTGTGATATAATAAAATATTTTGAATATTCCGTATTGCTTCTATTGTACCGATTAGAATACTCAGTATTTGTAACACTTTAGGATATTTCGTTTTTCTCGAAGTGCACCGTTTATAGTATTATATATTTTGGGATAATTTTATAAGTATTTACTAAATACTTTCATTTTATAAACTCTACTCTGTAATGAGGTGGATTTACTTGGTTTTCTTACTGCACGTGACTTAGATTGTTTGTTTCTTTTCAAGTATGAAAAGAAGAGTAATAGCCCTTGTCCAGAAAAATGGACGAATATCCTGATTATTTTCTCAAAATAAAGAATAATGTAATTAAATACATAGACAATTTATAATCTTACTTCAATCACATAAAAATACCCTATTTAAATTCCCTACCCTAAATATTTTGATAAATAATTAAAACTATACCAAAGAGTCCTCATTTTGACACGACGAAAAGTTTGTGTTATTGGCATGAACATTTGACCTAACACTGAGTCAAATACATGCATATACAACATGATTAGAACAACAATTAACGATTCCACGTGAAAAAGGACTTGTGAATACATAATTGTGTATCTATCTACACGATCAAAATTCACCACGTAAATATTGTTGTTGTATATGCGCCATTTTAAATTTCCCGCTCATAAAGAAAGACGACCATTTCTAAAAGATTGTGAGTTTCGAGATATATATATACGTTTAATACAGTGAGTTAACGGAAGTAACGCGTTTCACAACCATTGATTAACGAAAGACAAGTGAGCTAAGGGAAGTAACGCGTTTCATAACCATTAAATAACGAATGACAAGTGAGCTAACGAAAGTAACGCGTTTCACAACCATTATTTAACGAGAGATAAGTGAACTAACGAAAGCAACGCATTTCACAATCATTAATTAACGACCGACAAGAGAGCTAACGGAAGTAACGCGTTTCATAACTGTTAATTAACGCAGTACTTTAATTATCAAAGCTAGATATGTTTCTGTGTACAGTTACTAAGTACCATAGTTAGACGTCTTTCAGTATACAGTTACTAAGTACCATAGTTAGACGTCTTTCAGTATACAGTTACTAAGTACCATAGTTAGACGTCTTTCAGTATACAGTTACTAAGTATCATAGTTAGAGGTTTTCAGTATACAGTTACTAAGTACCATAGTTAGACGTCTTTCAGTATACAGTTACTAAGTATCATAGTTAGAGGTTTTCAGTATACAGTTACTAAGTACCATAGTTAGAGATCTTTGGGTATACAGTTAATAAGTATCGTAGTTAGAGGTTTTTCTGTATACAGTTACTAAGTACCATAGTTAGAGATCTTTGGGTATACATTTACTAAGTATCATAGTTAGAGGTTTTTCTGTATATAGTTACTAAGTATCATAGTTAGAGGTTTTTCTGTATATAGTTACTAAGTACCATAGTTAGACGTCTTTCAGTATACAGCTACTGAGTATCATAGTTAGAGGTTTTTCTGTATATAGTTACTAAGTATCATAGTTAGAGGTTTTTCTGTATATAGTTACTAAGTACCATAGTTAGAGGTTTTTCTGTATATAGTTACTAAGTACCATAGTTAGAGGTTTTTCTGTATATAGTTACTAAGTATCATAGTTAGAGGTTTTCAGTATACAGTTACTAAGTACCATAGTTAGATCTTTCAGTATACAGTTAATAAGTATCGTAGTTAGAGGTTTTTCTGTATACAGTTACTAAGTAC